ACCACCCAAGTGCAGGGTAGCACGACGCTGATTACGAGGGCGGGCATAATGAGCTGGATTCAGAGTCAGATCCCAGCCGTGACGGCTAAAGAGACGCCCACGTTCACGGCCATTGCCCACAGCCTGCAGCGAACCTCTGACAGCGACCGGGTGGAAAAATGGAGTGGAGGTGCCGTGCTGAAAGCGGTTGAGAACATTGTGGGTTAGGGACTACTTGTTGGGGTATTATAATAGTTGTATATGCTCGATAGACATGTGTTGGAATCCAATTGGCGCTCGGTTGAGATGGTATACTAGTGCAACCTGGAGATATCCGTAAGCTCAACACCTCTTGGTCAGATCTAGGCGAAAGATTCAGGTAACAAGTGAGTTTCGACACGAGAGACACCTAGCCATGCACCATGTCATCATTTATACCCCTCATGAATGGAGTTCAGGGAGAACCAGTTGCTCTGCGCCGTAACGAGGCAAAGTCATAGGGTGCAGGGGCCGAGGCAAACGGGGAATGTAGTAAATGGTCAGAATAACGGTATAGCCATTGAAGAGCATTGTACTTTTAATCTAGTAAATTAATCCAGCTCATATTAGAGACGATAAAGTGCCAGGTCATAACTCTGGGAGGTGGTGTTTACTCGTAGTTTGGATTTAATTAATGATTGATTGAGTCCGGGGGGGTCAGGCGAGTTGCCTGATTGGGTAGTGCACACGTTTTGCAGTGCCGTAAACTTCGCCTCGATCTTTTGCCTGCCCGCACCGCAACTTGGAACTTCCACCCTTTCACCTGAACTGAACTGCCTCCTCTCTCTCTCTCTCTCTCTCTCTCTCTCTCTCTCTCACCTCCCATTCAAACCCGCCCCCGTTCATACGCCCCCAACCCCCGTACCCTCCACATTGTTCCTGCAGCCTTCTGCTTCATTTCTATCTCCGATTCACTCCCTGATTTTGATCCTACTATCATTTCCGAGAGAGTTCATCGTGGAAAATTTTCCAACTGTTGTGGTGCCCCTCATCCGCTCCCCCCCCCCCAAACCAGTTGCTTGAACACTTGACCGATCGAAGCTCCCTCCGCCTTTCGGCCTTGCCACTGGCAACGGCCTGCCATCTTTGGCTCGTTTGATCTTCCTACACACCTGTCGCAAAATCCCAGCTCCTCTTCAGCTCTAACTCAAACTCAAACCACCTCTCTCTCCGTGCTTGACTCTTATCATATCTCTCCACTATCGCTACTCACTCATCATCACTCCCGTCCGCAACCAATGAAATCGTTGTAACCGCAACCCCCGAATAGCATCACACACTCTCCTCCTAGCCATCCTCATGGCACGACGTTATCATGTCGATGAGCTGCTATGGCTGCGCGGATCGCCTCTGGTCGTTCGACCTCCTACACTGCCGCCAGTAGACGAATGGATGGGGTAGGGCACCTTGATGATCCTCCCTCCACAAATAGGCCCAGCCAAAGGTCGTCATGAAGCTGATACATTCTACTTCTAGCCCCATCCCCGACCCAACTACACAACGAAAAACCTCAAATTCCCGAGAATCCACCAATCCCAATGAGACTACACCTAGACGGCCGAGCCTCTTCGATAACCGTCACATGTCCCGGAACTCGAACTCAGGTAAAGAACACAGTCTTTTTGCCGAGACGGAATAGCACGGCCATCACTAACACGAGCATTTGCTGCTGTATTCCAGAGGATATCATTCTCGGACCTCCTAAGACCGCTTTCGCTTCTGCCTCTCGCATCGCTGGTAAGGGATCCATAGATTCCACGGATAGGTCATCCAGGCCGCACGATTCCGAGGACCTGAAAACCGATCGGTTTGCCTTTCGAGACAAGTTCTTCAAGGAACGGGATCCCAACGACAGGGATTTCGATCGACGCGATGGAAAGATGGGTGCGTTCAATGCTCGGCGCGGGGACAAGGAAGACTGGATTAATGGACGTCCCCGTCGCACGTTTGGCCCGGAGGAACAGGACCGCAAGCCCAGGCGTAATGGAGAGTTCGACAGATGGGATACTCGCGACCAACGCGAGCCGACTCATGATCGGACTGTGAGAGACAGCAAGGACACTCGGTTTACCCTTCGCAAGGACGGTACACCGGGGCGCGCTAGGCATGAAGGAAGCTGGTTCCGAGAGGACAGCGCTCCCCACGATACACCCGAAGCAGAAGAGGACAAGACCCCGATCCGTAACCGAGAATGGCGTCGGGATCGACACGGTGCTGATCGCGATTGGACCCGTGGTGCTAAACTTGAACAGGAGCCTGAGTGGCTGGATACCAACGACAAGGATGAGTATCGGAGGGTGCATACACAAGAGGACTTTGAGCGTTGGAAGGAACGAATGAAAGCTGGTTCTCAGCCTCCTGCAACGGACAACCACGAGATTCCCGCCGAGACTGAAGTTGCACCCCCTCAGCAGCCAGATACTCGACCTACCGATGGTGAGATTTTCAGCAGTAATGGCACGCCCTTCCAGCAGGACTCAGCCATGGAGCGGTTCTTTGGATTGCTGAGCGAATCCAAGCCTGCGCCTGCGCCTGCACCGGAGGTCAGCGCCCCGCCTGTGCAAGTGGAGGCAACTCCAAAGAAGGACGCCCAAGCTGCTAAAGCCATGAAGTCGTCTCGATTTGCTGGACTTTTTAGTCCTCCGCCAGGAAGTCCTGCGAGAGATCCAGAACCTCAACCTGATACCAGGTCTCCAGCTCTGACGCCTGCCGGCTCAACTGATGCCGACCAAGAAGGATTTCAACGTATTCTGCTTATGCTTGGAGGCGGAAAATCGCGTAACGGGACACCACATAATGATACTATGCCTGCTAATCGGCCTCCCTCCTTGGTGCAGGCGGAACAGGTTCAGAGCGCTGTTTCTTCTCCTTCTCGGGAACATATCAAGCAACAGGAGTATCTGGCTATGCTGGAGACGCCGTCTCGAGCCGCTGGCCCTCCATTCAAGGAAAACCCATACCCCCCGGAAACACAGGCTCGTGACAGAGAACACCTTCTACGACTGATGCAGCAAGTTCGCGTCACTCCTGTAAATGGCCCTGCTCCGGGTGGCCATAATCAGCCACAGAGTGCCGGTCCTGTGCCCGGTATGATGAACATGCCGGATGTGCTGTCTCCTCCCCCTGGTATCCCTCCTGTTCAAAAGGGCCCCAACTTTCTGGATGATCCGGCGATTGCGAATATCCAGAGAGCTGACGCTGAACACCTTCGGAGACGGCCCGTGAATGGGCCCCCGATGGGATACTTTGACGACATTCCTTTCCCTCCTGGTGGCCAAGTCCCCATCACGCCCGGTGGAACCAGGGCTCCTCACGGTCAAGGACATCCTCCCATGGGTATGCAAAGACCGCCAGGCTTCGAGCATATGCCGCCGCCTGGATGGGCGGGCCCTCAAATGCCCCCGCAGCCTGCTGGAGGACCGGCGCCTTTGGCCCCTCCCCCAGGTATCCCAACTCCTACACGTGGTGTAAATCCGACCTACATGGCAAACATGATGCCAATGCACGGCAGTGCTCCTCCTCTCAACGAGCGTGAGCCTTTTCCGCGCGTCAATGGCGGTGGTTCGGCCGGCTTCCCTCCGCCTCCTGGGATGATGCCTCCCCCTGGTTACATGAACGGCCCCCCGCCCTCATTTCCGCCTATGCCACATAACGGCGATGTTATGATGGGACTCGGACCTCGCGGACAGCCTCCTTTCGAGGGCGTTCCTCCACCACAAGGCCCTCCATCTCGACACCCGTTGGATATGTTCGGTCAAGTTGGCGGTGACGCCCGCGGTGGCATGATTGGACCTGGACAGTTCAGATAAGCGTAACAGGGCAGTGGGGGTGCCCAAATGCTCGTCCTAGTTCCAGGTAATGGAGGATATCTCGAACACATATTCGTCTATATCTTGAGGCGCCCGTCCATTCCCCCTTGCTATGCTATCTTGATACATGGGCATTGCCTGTATCTATTTCTTACCTATTTATTTTGCTACTAGCTGGATGCATGGCAGATGTGGGTGTGGAAGGCTTGCTGACAGGATATCGGCTCTGTGACGAGTACTGAGAGACTGTATCACCACTGGATTCTCTCCTTTGCGGGACAACTTCTTCCAAATGAAACGACAAAATTGAGAGCAATAGGCGGATACTAGGTCTTATTCTTAACAGATAATGATCTCACGCCATCACAAATGCGCCTGGGTTTCGAGAAGGCTTGATGGCTCCAATGAAGTTCTATTGTTCGACCGTGGTTCCTTGATTGTAGATCAGTAGTAGGAAACGTGTAGATATAGTAGGAAACACTCATCAGAGAATCATCCCAATGCTCTAGTTGACATTGTGAGTGTATTAGTCAATCACGAGCCTGCGCGCTTTGGCTTTGCCTCATAGATTGGCCCGCTTTCCAGTTGCGAAATCCCTCCTTCTCCCTCCCCTCCATCCTTCCCTTTAGCATCCCTCGCCAACTCCACTCTCAACAGGCCTTATTCAGGCGGTGGCAGCTATCTTACTCAGTCTCTGCTCTTGCCTCGTTGATCAAGTTCACAGTGATGAGACGAATCGTCATCGCTATCGCCAGCCTCGCTTGACTAGTTTCTCGGTACAGTATTCCCTTTCCACTCACCACAACAGTGACGCCGTTTTTTTGTGTCTCACAATCTTGGTGTGTCTATATCTTCAGATTTGCAACTACATTACACTGCAGGAGTTTACTCTTCTCTATCCATATTCACTAGGACTAACCTGAACTCGACGGCCTCCAAGAACAAACATCTGATATGACTGAGAGTAACTTCTCACTGCTTGAGAATCACGAACGCGAGCACGAAGCCTCTGTACAAGTGTACTGAAACCATGGACACTGTGAGCCGAACCTGTGTCCCGATAGTTTTTCAAAATTATCCTTCATTGCACAAACTTTTTAAACCTTTCGTGGCACTTTATATACTGACATCACCCGAACTCAGTCCTGGCCGACCACGAACCACAGCGTCAAAATGATCACTCCTCCGTACAACGCGAAGCGATCCTCTTCTCCAAATGTCAAAGTTCGCACATTCACGCAGCGCGGAGAGGCAGAAGATCTTGACGACGGCAAACAGAGAAACCCCGAGAACAAGAACGCAAGCTCTCCTCCACGCCATCATTACGATAAGAAGCGGAAGACCGAGCGGAACAGTACGGACGCTCTCGAAGCAGCTTTGAACCTGCCCAGCTTTGCATGTGCTGCGTCTCTCCTCGATTCGATGAAGTTCTCCCACGCAAGGGCCGCCGGCGCAACGGATAGACAACAGATGGATGTTGACCGGGTCATGGCCTATGGAGTGGACGAGCCAAGCGGTCACTTTCCAAGCACACTCTCTGATTCTATACCTCTGAACGGCACAGCGGGACTTGCTGTTGGCGAGGTGGCAGACACAGCCAACTGTGCTGTCCCACCACCGGCCTCCCACTCCTCACACACGTATCGTACTTACATTCCCGTTCTCAGCTCAGAGTATCCCCTGAATTACCTCTTTAATGATCTTGAGCCTTGCGCAGCAGCAGAGAACCAGGTTCATCACCATCATCATTACCATCCTTCCTTCTCCAGGACGGGTTTTCCTATCTACGAAGACCCCGACGACATTGAGATTCAATTCCAAGAGATCAGAGTGAACGTCTTCGCTCCATGGGATGAAGACAAGGAGAACGTCGACGAGGGACCTTGGAACGGTGAGCCCGTAGAAGAAGGAGGAGGAGGAGGAGGAGGAGGAGGAGGAGGAGGAGGAAGAGGGGAGCAACACCACGAAGACAGCAGCACCGCTGTGACTATCTATCCGAACAGCAGCACCCGCAACGGCAACACCAACATCTTCGCAACCCATGACCTCACCCTCAACACCAACCTGGAGACGGACACAGACATGAACATGGATATGGATCTCAACCTAGATCTCGACAGTATCACCATGTTCCCCGCCCCCGAGAACAGTCTCTCCAGCACGCCCACCACCCAACACTCCATGGACACAAATGCCTTCAACTGGGATGTCAACGCGCACCTCACCACCATCCTCACCACCACCACAGGCGATACCAACCCGCCGTCTGCAGCGTTCTTCGACGAACCCGAGGCCACCGTTGGACCGTGGACTCAGGTTCCCGACCTCGTGGCTCCTTTCTCAGTGCACACGAGCCAAGAGCTGCTCATGGATGATGGCACAAATCACGCTACACTGGCTCCAGTCGAGGAGATTACTATCAATCCTCCTCCGGAGTTTGACTTCGCAGAGCACGATCAGGTCACGCCGGACGCGAGTGGTCTCTGGTTACCCTGGTCCTCGCAGAATTTGACCGCGTCGGAGATGGCTGCGCTTGCGCTCTCGGTTGCGAGGCAGCGGGAGGAGCAGATGCAAGGGGATCAGATGCTGCAGCAGATACCGGTGCAGGCTGGTATGGCTGTCGCTGGAGGGAAAAAGGTCCGCCGTGGTACCAGGCGACTGTAAGTTGTGCTGTGCTTGCTTGGGCTTGTACGTGAATTCTGTGTGTGTGTGTGTGTGTGTCTGCGGATCCCAGCACTAATGGAGGATGAAGCGAGTCGAGATGAAAGCTGAGAGTGCTGACGGTGTTGATCGTTGTGCTTGCCTGTTTTCATGTTTGAGTCCGATGCATTGTTTCAGATTGCAGGCGAACTTCGGGGTTGTTGTTGTGAAGCTTATGGGCTTGATAGCCAATGTGATCCGTCTACTTCAATACGTGACTCTGAAACTTCCACACGTTGTGTTTCTTACCCAAGCTACCAACTTTTCTTCGCGAAGATAATATGATATCAAGTAAGTCTTTACCTCTATGAAGAGATATATTACTGATTATTCTTAGTGATATAAATAATCAAGGCCTATTACAGTACCTCTATAAGTAAGTATGTATATGAGGAAGTAAGTGCCTGAGGCCTTCTGATTGATTGATTGATTGATCAAAGCCTTATCCCCGAATGCAGTCTTCTCTGCGGGCTTTTGCAGGAAAGTTCTTGGAATCCTCGGAAAAACAGAAGTGTAGCTAGAGTTTTTAGTACTTATTTGATTATATTAGTTTTCTCTTTCTTTTTTTTTTTTTTTTTTTTTTTGCCTCAAAGAAAACTATTCAAAACCGATAACTTGAAGGGTATCACAAATGAGATAGTAGAAATAAAGAGAAATTCCAAGCTCGTTTCGTATATGATAAAGCTTCAGTGTCGACCAAAAGAAAGAGGGAGATCTGGGTTCAGGACTCAGCCGGGACTTCCTCCGACTCCGGGGGTTCGCTCTGCTTCTCCTTCTCCTTTCCCTTGCCGTCTGACTTCGAGTACGCATTCGACTTCTTGGGTTTGCGGGTCAACCTGAAGGCGCCATTTGGATCGACCTCGACATCTGCAAACATGTTGAGCAGTTCTTCCATTGTGTCGCGGCTCTTGAGCTTTTCGTCGCCGATGGTCTGATCGATCGACGCCAGTTTCTCTGATTGAAGCCGGAGAAGATAGTCATCGATGGTTTCGCTGACGATGATCTTCTTGTACTCCACCTCTTGAGTCTGGCCAATGCGCCACACCCGGCAGAAAGCCTGCCATCGAGTTAGCAAGCTATTCCTCTTCATCCGCAGAACTGATAGACCCGGGCGTGGTGTCCGTACCTGATCCTGTACGGCATCGTTCCACCACAAATCGACCAGAATGCACTTGTTCGCCGCGGTCAAATCCAGTCCTATGCCACCAGCCTTCAGGCTCGCCAGCATGATCTTCGTGTTGCCGTTCACGTCGCTGAACTGCTCCATGCTTGCTTCTCGTTTGGCCAGATTCATTTTTCCAGTCAACTTGAAACTGTTAGTCATTCTGAAGAATGGGGGATAGGCAGGTTTGGAATGAACTCCCTACCGAAGTTGCCGGCCACTTCTCCCTCTGGCACATCTTCCCCAAGATGCGGATGAAGTCGAGAAATTGAGTGAAGATAACAATCTTGTTCCTTGGCGACTCAGCCAGCCATTTCGCCACCAGGTCTCGGATCTTGGTCAGTTTGGCTGATGGCATTTGACTCGCGCATGCTTCTATCCAGTCTGTTTGCTCGTCCGCATCTGGCTCGGTAGGTAGCTCCTCATCCGAATTCAGGTAAGCAGGCCGCCGAAATGAGCCCTGAGGCTTTCGCCACACGCCAGTCTTGGATTTCTTCTTGCGTTGAGTTGCTGTATCTTGCTTCGGGTTCTTCGTGGATTGTGTCTGTGTAAGCTCAATGTCTTCGACCGCGTCACAATAGGCTGCTTCCTGAATAGGTTCCTGACAGACACGGCACATCGGCTTGCCATCGTCTGTGCTCTCATTGACAGAGAGATAACTGTAGCACTCCTCGCAGTAGAGATGATGGCAGGATGTGATGACGGGATAGACGGGAACACACTTGCAGTGTGGACAACTGTTCCTCTTAAGACGTTCATCCCATTGCTCACTTTCATGGAGTTTGAGCATCAAGTCATAATAGTCCCTTACTAGCTTCTCCTTATCTCCTTGAAGATTTGGGGAATCAACCAGATGCTCTTCACGTTTGTCGCAGATGACTGTTGGGTTGCTGCGGATCGCAATGAGCCTTTGTACTATTATGAACGTGGGGTCCTGTTCATCTCGCCCATTAGCCATCCTAGAGAGTTTCGCCATAAGATGTCTTTCTGACAGTAGTTTCTTGATGATATCATGAGCGGTGAGAAGGTGACTGCAGAACATGCGGAGTATCAATATCATCGTCAGGAAACATCGGTATTGAGCCAGCTTCGGATGCTTGTGTTTCGCAAGCTGATTAATGTTCCGAATGAAAAGGTCTTCAATGGCATTGAAAAGCTCACGTTCAGCATCACAAAACTCGGCTCTGATGACTTCATCATGAACATCCGGTAGTTTGACCAAAGGAAATGAGAAAAGCCGACTGGCGTGAGTTCGGCGGAGCATGAATGATCGTATGAGATTGACCAGGCGCATGTGGCTATTTTCGTCCTGACAGAAATCTCTGAGAAACTTTTCGTGGGTTTTGGTGCCGGGTACCCCCAGGAAGTCAAATTGAGGAAATAATTCATCGATATAGTTGTGTATAGGTGTGCCACTCAGGATCCACTTATGAGTGCCAGTCAAAGCGCAGACAGCCATCGAAACAGCCGAACCATGATTTCTGATGAGGTGTCCCTCATCAAGAATGATCCGGTGATACTTTATCTTATGCAGAGGGCCGAGATGCTCTTCATAACGTTCATCCCACCATGCAATCACTTCGTCTTCAGTCCCGGTCGGTGCTGGTGGCTTGCAGCTTTGGGGATATGACCTTCTCACCTCGTCGTACGTGGTGATGATGACACTGTATTCCTGGAGGCTTCCAACAATGTCCAATGTATCCAATCTATGTCCAGCACAGTACGTGACAATCTCCTTGAGATCGATACCATCGCAATGTTTGATAATTTGATTCTTCCAATGAGATACCAAGTGTGATGGAACAACAATCAGTGTGGTTTTGATCGGGTCTTCTGGGTCCGAGGGCCGCCCATCGACCATGTTTGCTAGGCTTTCGTTAGCATGTTATGCTGATGGGAGGCCTAAGGATTCTTACTCACCTAGTGCTTGAATGGTCTTACCCAAACCCATGAAATCGCTCAGAAATCCGCCGTGGGGTGGATAAGATGAGTTCTCTCGATCGCGCATGAATGCTGCTCCCAGCAGTTGATAGTGGTACAAGCTTGTTCTCATACCTGGGATGCGATAGCCTCCTGTCCCGTCTTTTCTCACCCCTTTGGAGAATTTGCGGCTTGCGATTATTATTTTGTTATGGTCCGACTTCGCTTCAGCAAGATCTGCCGCAGGAATGCTGGCAATCATCCGTCTGAATGCCTTCTCTTTGTCCCTCTCTCCAAACTCAGGCATGGCCTGTGCAGAAGCACTAGCGTGCGCATCTTCGATAATATTAGGGGTGATTAGAGCGCTGAGAAACTTTTCAGACGCCTGAGTAGTAAGTCTTTTTGCCTTTTTGCGTGTGGGAGCATCGACTGGCTCGGAATCAGGTGCAGTGTCTTCATTTCTCCGTTTTCTAGACTTTCTTGCTGTTTTCTGGCCCGTTTGCTTCAAGACAGAATCGAGGCCATACTTCTTGCTCTTGCGCTTCTCCTCAGCTGAAAGTCTATTCTTTCTGATTCTTTGGACTGGTGACCGCTGGCCCTGGCCAGTCGACTCGGCGGCATTCTGAGCGGGCTGCACGGTACTCTCCGACGGCTGCGCCATGACTTCAGCAGACACTTGTTCGTCGAGCACTGCTCCTAAATCCTCATCATTAGAGATTGTCGACTGGTTTTCTGCTTGAAAAGCTTCTCTCGCGGCAACTCTTCTCTCGCGCGCTTCTTCTTCCATTTCAGCAGCTTCAAAGCGAATCTGATCTGCCAAAGAAGGATTCTCAATGCTCTGAAAGTGGCGTTCTGCAGCTTTGAATCTATAACCAGTAATCAGTCACCGCCCTGCGGGAGTAAGGTCATATGTCACCCACTTTGCGTTCGAGTTGTCTTGTTGGGCTATAGTATCAAGCTCGTCATCAGGCCACTCAGCCTCGTCACCATCATGAGCTAGGCTCACTGATCCAGGGTGAGCATCTCCCGCTCCAGATGACGCTGAAGCGGCGATAGACGCATTATCCAACGGTGGCTGAGGATCTTCGTCATTTTCGTTGACATCTGCCGAAGGATCTTTATCCGCTTTATCAAACTCTGGATTCATGGGCTCTGGATTCTGAAGCACATTATTCGTCGTCGATTCAAGTTGACCATCCAGATCTTTCATCAGCGCTGCAATTTCCGTGTCCCATACGTTCGGTCGGATGAGTTGTTCCAAATCTGGCCCACCCAAATGCATCACCTGCACATCGGCAGGCTGGATAGACAAATGCTGCATGGGAGTGAGAGAGTCTTGATTGCAAGGTGGAGCGATTGCATCTGCCATCTGCACATCAGCGGGAGGGAAAGACGGAGGCTGTCTGGAAGTAACAGAGCCTTGAACACAAGGTAAGGCGGATTCATCTGGACGCGCCATCCGCACATCTGCAGGCTGAAAAGACGAATGCTCCACGGAAATCCTAGAGTCCGAAACAAAAAGCGAATCCTCTCCATTTGGATGGTTGAGGCCAGAGAAAGGAACCAATGGCAATTCCGGTCCGACGTCTGTAATCCAGCGTTCGTCTGAATTGCAACGTCAGTATCACGAAGTATGAATCGAAGCCATATGCAAGGAAGCCTGCTTACCTGGGTGTGGGAGAAATCGATGGCTGCTATCGTCGAGATTAGTCGTCGTACCTGCCTCTCCAACTGCCATTTGGGTGATCTCGAGTCCTCGCTGGCTCGCGGCGGCCGCCGGAGCCTCGGTCTGGTTGGCAGTATCTCTCTCCGCCCGAGAGACCCCCTTCTCCTCGAGGTTTGTGGGGTTGTCTGTAGACATGGTTTGCGAGATATCTCGTGTCACGTGGATAACAATAGAGGATAAGAGGAACGGGTGAAGCAGTATAAGAGATAAAGGATCAGGTGATGTGAGGAAGAAGGAACGGTGGCTGACGGAAGCGTGCAAGCAGGCGATTTGGCTGACGGGAGTGTGGAGGAGGGAAGCGAAGGGACTCTCAATGGAAGTAAGGAATCCAGAGCTGGATCTGATAACGCGGCTTGCATATAGGGTGTAAGGTGCCAGGAATATAACGAAGCTGATGGAGAGAATCAGGAGAACGAGGAGAGTATATAAGAATGGTTGGGTACTCAGAAGAAAGGATGTTGGCTGGGAAGAGTGGAAGAACAGGAGAGGATGAGAGGCTGTATGGTATTTATATTGTAGGAGGCTGACTGAGGAGGATGGAAGATCAGGAGAGGATGAGAGGATGGGTGATATTTAAATGGCAGGAGGTTGGCCCAATGGCGCGAGGAACAAGACCAAGAGAAGGGCAGAGAGTGTTCCAGCAAAGGTGAGGCTTGATCAAGTAGTGATTGAGAATGACAATTGCAAAGTCAAAGGAGGGCTGATGGCCAAGAAGGATGAAGGTGCTTGCGAAGATGGCTGACTTGATTGACTAGAAAGATGCGCGTATGTTGTCCGGAATGAGTGCTGGGTGAAAGTAGGATGTAAGCAAGGTAAGTTGAAAGGCTTGACCAAGTAGGGCAAAGTTCAATTTTGGGAAGAATGGGCGAAGAGGAAGAAGGCTGAAGCGACCTCCAAGGATGGCTTCGATATGTGGAGCAGAGGTGAGGTCAAGTAGAGACGGTATAGATGATGAACGATGTCACAATGAATGGACCAAGCACCATATCAATTGAGGTGGAAATGAGGAGGAACATAAGTTCGAGAATGAAATGGACGTAACGGCAATTCATGAGCTATTATATTCATAGGATATGACGGCAAAACTGTCACCCATGCATGTACTCCAGACTAAACAGTCCAAGATCACATACGCTCCACCGACAATGTGCGGGTAACTTCATGTAAAAATAGATCAGAAAATCATCACTCATAACAACCAAGGGCACCGGGCACCATTACTCCTGCTTCACCAATTCCCATTACCTTGCCCTATTCCTAGTACATCAGGCGCCGAATCACTCCTCGTCGATGGCACAATTGGGATGCATGACATAGATAGTCCGCTCCACTTGTGCAGACTCATCAGCTGGGTCGACCAGACCTTGTCCACGAATAGGCATAAGAATGTTGTCCTGTCGATGTAAGTTAGCGTGAGATCAGTGGGATGGAGCGAGGGTAAGTGCAACACAGTACGTACCTTGACCATCCGCTTCAAAACCTTGACAGCCAGGGAGCGTTCTTGCTCCAGATCTTCCTCGGTTTCCAGTTCAGACTCGACCTGTTCCAGGTACCAGACGAGAAGTTCTTCCTGCTCAACTCCTTCACCAGACATCGACTCATCGTCGCGCACACGTCGTACAAGCAAGTTCAAGATCTTCATGTATTTGTCATAAGTGATCTTGGTACGTGTGCGAGGCGGCTGGGTCTGTTGTGCCGGCTCGCCTTCATCACGCATGGGGCTGTCGCCTTCGCGATCACGGTCACCCATTTCATGATCTTCATCGGCAGCGTGACCGCTAGCAGCGTTGACTTCATCATCAACTTCAACATCATCTTTCTCGACAGTCACCATGCTTTGCCGCAGAAGGTCGTAGGCTTCACGCACAAAGCTGGGGACAATCTCCTCTACACAGTTGGCCTTTGCAACGGCCTCGGAAAGACGGATGAGAGATTCAAGCTGTCGAACCGTGATACGGTAAGAGGAGCGGCCCATGCCACCTTGGGCATCGCCGGCACGAAGTTCCTTGTACTTCTCAACCAAATAGGCCTTAGCCTCCTCCGTGAACACGGGTCTGAATGTTCTTGCGAAGCGGATGTAACGCAGTAATTGCTCAGTGCTGAGCTCCGGGTTGACTGCTTCATCGCGGTTCATGTGCACGTTGACAATGTGGTCCGCAAGGTTGCGATCCACTGTTTCATTAGGGTCGTCTCGGACCACGAAGAATAGATCGAATCTGCTCATGATGGGAGCACTAAAGTTCAAGTTGCCACGCAATGTAGTCTTCGGGTTGTAACGGCCACCAATGGGGTTTGCCGCGGCGAGAATCGACGCACGTGCGTTAAGGGTAGTATGAATACCAGCCTTGGCGATAGAAATCGTCTGTTGTTCCATGGCTTCGTGGATCGCAACTTGGTCGCCAAGGTCCATTTTATCGAATTCATCAATACAGCAGATACCTCCTCCATTCTGTTTCAGAGAAAGGGTTAGTTCTGTGGTTACTCGGCACAGTGATAGTATGGATCACATACAGCTAACATCAGAGCTCCCGCTTCGATTGTGAACTCGCCCGTCTCGGCATCCTTGACAACAGCCGCAGTCAAACCCGCTGCAGAGGAGGCTTTGCCACTGGTATAAACAGCTCGAGGATGTAAAGAACACACATACCTGGATAAGAATGTATCAGTATCACCATCTAGGAACCACCGGAGGGTCGAATTACTCACTTCAGGAATTGACTTTTGCTGGTTGAGGGGTCACCAACAATGCAGATGTTGATATCACCACGGAGTTGTAAATTCTCCTGTTCGGTATTCTTGCTGACTCCTCCAATCAGTTGTAGCAATATGCCCTTCTTAATTTGCCGGTGACCGTAGATCATGGGAGCAATGGAGTCGATCAGCCGTGCGTAGATATACTCCGAATGCACGAGTTTCTTCAAGTCTTGAACTTCGTAGGGCGTAAGACTTTGAAGCAAAGCCTCCTGCGCCTGATCTTCATCAGTCTCAGGATCTGAGATCTGGTTGAGCGAAGCCAGGATATTATGTGACTGGCCATTCAACTGCTGTTTCGTCTGTTGACCGGGAGTCGTTGTATCAGGTGTCACCATACAAGCAAGGAACGCGAGTCGATAGGTGAGGTCTCTGATACCAAGAGCTTTCAGACCACTCACACCGCCACCACCAATGTCACTTCCCCGGAAGGCACCATCATCACGGACAGCTTCCGGTCGCACCCCTGGCAAACCCAGCTGGCTCACATCTGGCACCACAATCAGTGTACCAGTGAAGATGCACCGCTCACCAGCCTTAGCACGATCCACCATCTCACCTCGCAGAATAATGTCCATTGTCCGCGGCATGCTACCAGTTGGGATTTCATGAGACGACTCCTGCAATTTGACCTTCTGCCAATCAACAAAAGTACTCTTGCCAATATCCAGCCGCCATGCGGTGCGATTCCCGCAGGTGTCGTTGGGGCATTGTGCGGGCTCAGTGTAGCGGAAAGTCTGTTCCACATTGGGACACACTGCCTTACACAGTTCACAAGTGAAAGTACCGAGAGATAGCTCGGGTCGGATCTCAGAGGTACGCGTGACTGTGCCGGATACAGAGACTAGCTTTCCAATCTGAGACGTCCGAAGTTGGCGCAGCCGGGACACCAGGGGTAGGTTATAGAACGCCAGCGAGAATAGCCTATCGGTCTGCTGGTGCCTAGTCTTCTCGCGAATATCACGCTCCAAGTCGGGATTATCAGACACGCTTGAGTTGCCCGCAACCATAGAGGTACCTGCTTGCGAAGAGATGCTGCTAGTGGCGGTGGCCTGGCGATGCGCAGCATAATATTCCGGTTCATACTTAGCGATCAGGTTGTTCAGGGCCTTGGTGAGAAAGGGTTGGAACCGATAATATTGGTTGGCAATCGCGTCTGCCAGGATAGGGTTGCTTAGGGAGGTCAGGTGCGTAAAATCCACATAGAGCGTCGAAAGCTCGAATTTGGCCATGCCTCGGATTTGAGCAATGTAGTACTTGTCGCTCAAGATTTCCGCAGACGGCGGGGGCGGCTGTGAGAGTGAAGGCTCCTCCACGTATGTCTCAAGCAGTTCCTCGAACGCTTGTTGTACTTTCTCTCCAGCAACATCGGTCACTGGGGGAGGAGGGGGAAGATATGGATTGCGGAGTCGGCCTACGGTCGAGGCGTTGGAGTCTGCTCCTTGCTCGTCTGGATAGCCGTGCATATCGCTCATCGGTCCATTGCTTTCTGAAGGTGGCTGCGGTCGTGAGCTGGGGATTTGATCCGAATGAAGACGGCGAGAGCCCGCCGTCGAGCCCAATTCCGACTGCAGGACGGCATCAAAAAGGGAGGACATGGCGAAGGGCGGATGGCCAGGGTAAGGCCGTTGGGAGTATGTGGTAAGGATCCTTTCAACTAAGACAAATGTGAGATGTTACAACACTCGGCGAGCTGGTGATATCTCAGATAAGTGTCCAGTTTGCTGCCAGTCAATCAGAAGGGCCAGCCTTAAGGGAGGGTGGGTGCGTTGGCCAGAAGCTGAGGGTGTTGATAGAATGGATGAATGTGTTTGGCACTTTTGCTTTGCATTGGCATTTTTCCGTCGAGCTTTGCATGGGACGCGACCGCAACACGAACGCGTCGGGACTATGTTGCTCCGGTTACCGACGCGTTAAGTGGTTTTTGATGCTTAGTCAGTTGCTGGGTGGGGAATTCCCATTCCTTTGGGAATGCCAAGACCGTAGCTGAGAATTAGGGCTAGCCATTTTCAAGGCAGAGGTAACTACTGGACGGAACGGAGTGGACTCGGGACTGAGTGATGACTCCATGAGCCATTACCGCTTTCCTCCAACAGTCCCTACAACTCAGCGAGTCCAAGACTTACAATCTGCGCTTCATGATTCGCAGAACATATCCACAGAAACAGCTTCTCACAGAACAGAGTGAGCCCTGATCAATGTAGTCTTCGTGTTCCCAGGAAGGCCTTGCCAATGTTGTTAGGGCTAACGGACAAATAGCACTGGAAAAGCTTTATGGCACTCATGAACAAAGAGCAGTCGGTGCAGTGACTAATTACGATCAGCAGAACATAGACTTTGTCCTGCAACTGATGCATAAGTAGGCAGCACGGAAACAAGGGCGGGCTGGTACTTTTGACATCTTGACATCTCGTGCACTTTAGCGGTCTGCAGTGCAAACTGATCCTCTCCTCCCAAGACTGGGGCAGCGCAAGGTCACGGGGCTTGCACTTCGGTGCTCTTAGACGGGCTTGTCCTCTAGAATTACGATTACGGTTGAGAAGGCTTTTTGGGACATTCGTGGTGGTATCGGCCGTATCATAGGAAGGACAATTATCCACTGCAGGGCATGTTGCAGATGTGATTTGGCACTTGAGCAAAAACCCTCTCCTATTCGAGGAGAGCGGAACAGTCCGATAATCGAGAGCAAAATGGAGCACTGGGTTCTGCAACCGCCACTGCTGCTGCTGCGGTGATTGACTCAATTGGCCCTTTGCACCGGTGCGGTTTGGGCGACTCCATAAATGGGGATTGACAGCTGAACTTTCAGATGGGATAGGGCAAACATGGGAAAGAGGAAATAGGAGCTCCTCTGTTTACAAGTACATAGAAAGTTCTACCTTCTCTCGTAGCAATGAAGGGTAAGGTATCTCTTTTCGAGGTGGCTTGATGATATCCGCGGATAAAGAGCATATTCACCTTCGGCATACTGCAGACAATTATCATAGTGCTCTATTGATATTGCCTGGGAGTACGACCTTGGAATTGTGACGGCCAGACTACATGACGTCATTGTTCGCATTCTTCCTGCGATCTTGCCAGTAGATCCTCTTTTGAGTGGTTCACACTAAAGCCCGTCTAGCCATTCACCTACAGCAGCCACGGACAGCGTACACAAGCAATACGAGATGACACACGCACCTTGCTCTAAGCTACTGCGACAACAAAAGCCCTCCAGTACCTCTTCTGTCTCTTTGTTGTGGCCGGATGGCCTTATTTCGTCATGATCTTACGGCCCAAACTGGGCCAACCACTGGTCTAACGTCATGATCCCATTCTTCCTGTCTTGTTCAATGATGGTAGTCATTTAGGAGGGAGTCTAAGGGCATACGACCGATGCATACGGACAGATAGGATGTGAGTGTTTTCAGCTAGAAAGCACCCCCAACTATGCACCACTCTATCATTATGCACGCTGTGCCTCACCTCGCGGTTGTCCTACCAGATAGGGCCGGTAGATTTCCCAAAGACCTTTTGCCTCTTTTGGAGCAAGATGGCCCGAGCTGGAGGGTCTGAGAGCCTGCGAGATAGGCGCGATTCGGAGTGGGGGAAAGAGTTTGAACTTTGAAGAGAGCCAACAAGAGAAAAAAGCCACCGGGGAGCTCCCCGAGCGCTCCAACAGTCCGCACCAAGCGGGATCCTTCCCGTCTGATTCATTATTGACTTACTGTTTTATTGTCGATAATAAGTGGTCTGACCAGTGTCTAGCCAGCCAGGGTATTAGGTGGGTTCCAGCGAGTTGTTCTTCCCCACATCCAATCATACCAATTTGACGGGTAGGATTCCTTTTCCGGTCAATCTTAATCAGTTACGACCCAATGGCAGAGATCGATCCGTGTAGAATGTAGGTAGATAGGTCAGATGCAGATAGGCAGTATCCGTACCCCATAGCTAGTAAGGTAAGGTAAGACTGTATACCTAATGTGGAAATGAAAAGCTGAGCGGAGGAGGATGATACATGCCTACTCAGTAAAGTACGGAATATCATGGATACAATACGGAGTAGCCTAAGGGAGGTCGTGGGGCCCTTCTGCGGCGGCGGTGGAGGTGGAGGTGGAGGTGGAGGTGTTCTAGGTAAGGTTGGTGTCTAACTAGGTAATTAGTGAATTCTTCCACAAGTAGTGAGTTGGTGAGTTGGTGAGTGGTGACCGAGTGGTAAGTCAGTGAGCACTGGCCGCTCCCTCCGACGACTCCAATTCCACCTTCAGGCTGACTTCTTTCTCTTTCTGTTTCTCATGTTGAATTTCCTCCACCCTCAACCACCTCCTCCTCTTCTTCTTCTTCTTCTTCTTCTTCTTCTTCTTCTTCT